TACTAGTTATGAACCCTTGTTGGAGTTTTGCTGGGTCTCAGATTCACCATCTATAAAATGGGGAGATAATACGTGTACTCTCTAACTCACAGGGCTCTTGTGAGGGAAGTGTTTGTATTCCTGTAGACAAGGGGACTATTATGATGAGGATCTGGACTCAGGCAAAAGTAGAAAAATCCCTCTTGGCCAGTGCTGCAGAAAGCTGAGTAATGTAGCTCTGATCACCTATTTCAGACTAAAATGTGAATGGATGATAATGGAACAGTTCGATGTACTAACTCTCTTGAGTCTGGTGGGTTTTCTGTGTGTTTGTTTGGTTTTTTAGCAGCTCAGTGAGTGATCCTAGGCTGGAGAGATGCTTGTGAGCACATCTCATCTATGTGGGTAGTTGGGAGGGCAGAAGGATGAATTAGAATAAAGTGGCCATACAGTAGACTATGGTGAATTCCATGTTTATAGCCAAAGCAAGCTGAGACAGGGCCTTTTGAGCAATGCTACTTTGTGTTAGGGCTCACCAGCTCAGGAAAGGTTGGAGGTGTGGCAATGGGCAGGACAGGAACAGAAAGACTAGCTCGGTAGAGGCAGACTCCAGGGCCAAAGCTGCCTCCCAAAGGCAAAACTGAGACCAATCTAAGGGCATGAAGTTGTGAGTCTGTGTCTCCCAATAAGGAGTCACAGAAAGAGAATGAGAAAAAAAGGGGAGGCTGGCTTTGGGGTGGCCTGATGGTGGTAGGGAAGCAAATAAATGGTACTGGGGGGGGGCAGTTACTTACAAAAAATGGCCAGAGTTAGAGCTGGAAATGCCTAATCTCCCCTCCTCAATTTACAAATATGGAATCTTCAGTCTAGAGAGGGAAAGGTATATGCCTTAGTTCACAGAACAGATTTTTTGGGACTAGAATATAGGTCTCCTAACAACCCACTTCAGGAGGGTGTGTGTGTGTGTGTGTGTGTAAAATGCTAGGCAATAATGCCTAATACAGATCAGCAGTGATGGATCGTCAGTATGGAGCAGGCTCCAGAGTAAGTCAGAGTAAGAGGCAGAGAACCAGGAGTACCCCCAGAGAGCTCAGCCTGGAAAGAACTTACCTTATTTAACTACCATCTAATTCTAACACAATCTCGTTATTTTACAGAAGAGGAAACAGGTTTGGATTGTTTAGGACATCTAGTGAATCAGTAACAGAACTGGAATTTGAACTCGGGTGTTCTGACTTTGCATCAGCAATGGTTCCAGGGTTCTGTCTCTAAAAAGGTGGTACAGTGGATAGAGTACCAATTTAAAAGGCTTAAAATCCTACCACTGACATTTACCAGCGTTGTGTTTCCCTGATCAAGTAATTTAACCTCTCGGAGGCTCAATTTCTTCATCTGCAAAATAGGGATCACAGTAGTAGTCCCTACCACACCGGTGTGTTGTGAAGCTCAAATGAGTATGCAAAAAGATTTATAAGTTTTAAGGTTTATCTAAGTGTCAGATACTATATTGTTATTTCCTGTATACCAAATTGGGTCCTGGAGTGGACACTGTGAGCTCTGTCTACTTACCTCCTGCTGGGTCTCTTTTCTATCTTGCTGTGCTCACCTTTTCCATCCAGTGTACCTGATGCCTGCCTCCCACCAGGGTTAGGGAGCTATAAAAGGTGTTGGAGATGGAATACACCCTTTGGCAGACATCCTCTGCTAGCCCAGACTAGGGGCTGTCCACTGTCCCGCCTCTCTGGCTCTACCCTTATCCCATATCTGTGCCTTCGAATCTGTGTATCTGCCTGCCTGCCTATGGATCTCCGTCCGGGGCCAGAAAGGGGGAGGTGGGGAGGGAAGTGGAAGAAGGCCCCAGAGAGAGATGTAATTCCACTGTCAGAAATTATAACTTCCTCACGCTTCAAGTGCCAGGCGCTGCGGTAAAGGTTGTCAGAAGCGCTCAGCAGAAGACGCCAACAAGAGGAAGGAGCTAATGGGATTAGAGAGATATCATTTAATACTGTCAGCGGCCCGAGCCTTCGGGGGCTTCCCGGGATGGGGACACTGCCTCTCCCCCGACAGCCCTAGGGCCCCTAGCTCCCAGCCTCACAGACCCCTGTCCCCAGTCCTACCCCTCCCCCCTGGCCCTACAGCTCCATCTTCTACAAACTTTACCAGGCCCCCTCCCACTGTTGGGCCCCCAGCTGGCCGACCCAGGTCCCAAAGCTTCGCAGCCCCTGCTTCATGGTCCACATTGTTCAAAACTCCCCTCCCAATAATAAAGCTCCAAATACCTCTGACCCTACCTCCAGCTGGGCCGCAGGATGACAGATCCCGGCTCCCTAATAGTAATAACACAAACTCACAGTTACAGAATGATTGAAGGTTCCAAAGTGCCTTACCCTCATAGCAGGGCCGCTCTTCCTCGATCTCCAATTCCGTACAACATATGGAACCCCAACCCACCCGCAGCCAGCGCAAGTCCTGCAGGCTGGACTAGAAGGAAGCCTCCTCAAACCTGTCCCATTTCTGGGCTCTATCTAGGCTGGGAAGGCTGGCGGGGACAGGGGGCAACAGGAGAGAGAAGACATGGGTAAGAAGGGGAGTGGGATGCCGCTGGCCAGGGTCAGCTTAGGAGAGGGCCAAGGAGAGTTTAGGAGAGAGCTTTGGAACATTGGCAGGGAATTGGGGGGACTTGGGAAGCTCAGGTGGTAAACTTGAGGCAGGAGACTGGGAGAGGGCTGAAGGAGGTGTGTGGGGAGAAGTGGGTTGTAAAGGTGCCCAAAGGCCATTGCATAGTATACTGGAAGGAATTGTATCTGCTGGTAGGCACTAGAGGTTTGACGCTCTGATGGGTCGCCTCAGTTGTGCCTGGACTGAGGGTTCCTGGCTGGTGCCACCTAGTTTTTGCACAGGCCTGGGTCCTGAGAGGAGGGTCCAAGCCCTTAGACCTGGGATGATACAAAGTAAGGTGAGGTATGGTGGAGAGGAGAGAGGACAACCAGCCCCTCTCTGGCCACACAGTCTGAAAGTGAGCAGAGGGATGGACAAAGAAGGAAGGAGAAGGCAGGTGACGATCCCCTTTCCTTGCCCCAACGCGTCAGGAAGAGGAGCAGAAAGAGACAGAAGGATGGATTAAGAAGAGAAGACACACCTAAAGAGATAAAAATGGAGAGAAAATGAAAAGGAGAAAAAGAAGGTGGAGAAAAGAGAAGAAATATTTGTTGAAGATAAAAAATAAAGGAGAAAGAGACAGGAGGAAAAGTATGCAAGAAAGAAAAAGGTTCAAGAAGAAAAGAAAGAAGGGAATGACAAAAGGAAGGAGAGGGAAGGAGAGAAGAAAGAAATAAGGAAGAAGGAAAGAAAGAAGGAATAAAAGGAGGAAGGGAGGAAGGAAGAGGCATCACTGTTTCCTTAAAGTTTATTGATTGGTTTAAAGTGTTCAGCAAAGTGCTTGTTGGAACGTTTTCGACTCACACTCGTCCCTTTCTTCCCCCTCCCCCAATCCCTTATACATTAATTTATAAATTTAAAACTTTTTTTTTGTAACAATTGGAAATATACATAATAAATGATTGATGTCTTCTAAAAAACAAACCCGCCGCCATAGCGGCTTCGCTCCCTCTCCTCCAACTGTGCACTCGGTTTCCCGACCCTTTCTGTATTTCCCGGGCCTGGTACTTCTCTGCTTAAAAAACATCCCTGGTTTGAACGCATTCTTCTCCACACCCCGAATTTTGGAGAGCGGCTAAAGCCTTGCAGCCCAGCCGAGGGCACGCCAGAGGGGAGCTGTGGCTGGAAATGGGGAGCGGCCCGGCCTTACCCTGAGTTAAGTGGGCACATCGTTGTCCAAGTTCCAGACAAGAGGTCTCTGGGGCTGGGCCCTGGGAGTGGATTCGTAGCGCCACAGCCGGGCATTTGAAGGCAGGTGCACCCAGTAGGCTCTCCTGACTCTCTACATTAGCCTGTCCCAACGTCTCCAGTAGGGACTCGAAGATGTCCTATCCTGACCCCTCCAGGAGGGGCACGTGGACAGTCACCTTTCCTGACTCTGTCAGGATAGGCGTGCAGACACTTCCCTGTCCTGACTCCTCCTGGAGGAGCTCGAAGATACCGTCTTGTCCTGACCCCGCTAGGTAGGGTACTCGGGGACACTGTCCTGTTCTGACCCCGCTCGGTGGGGCGAGGACACAACCAGGTCCCCGCTGAACCAAGAATGCACGCAGTCCCGTCCTGCTTCCCGCACTCAGCCAGAAGGGGCGCTCTGATACTGCCTTGTTAGGTCCTGGGAAAAGGAGTTGTGTGTGCGTGTGTTGGAGTCCGGGAAATGTTTACAGTACCCTCGCGGCCCTAGAGGCCCTGGGCCTCGCGGTGTCCGCTTGGTTGCGTGTGACTCCAGCCCAGGCAGGATCCGGAGAGATGAGAAGCCCTCAGTACTTTTTCCGGCCCTCAGAAGACGCACCCTCTCAATCGGGCTCCACGGCTCTCCGCTGGGGAGGACAGCAGAGCCCAGAAGGGGCCCTCCTAAACACCTGGCGAGGTTATCACATCTCTACCAATTGTCCAACTGGAGTTTTGCATATTCGTTACTGGGACTCTGATTCCTGTGGGACTAAGCCTTTCTTGGGCACTCCGATCTTTCCTCACCTCTACCTGAGGTTGTTCTCGAGTGGAGTGCGGGTAGGGGATGGGACGGGACGTAGACAGCTCTTTCTCCCCTTTCTCCTCTTCCTGGTTGGGCACACCCTCCAGGTCGGAGAAGAGTGCGGAGCCCCCCCTTTCCGGGGCAGGTGGGGATAGTGGGGTGAGGGAGTTCCGACTAAACGGACAGGTGCCTTTGGGCCCCACCTTTCCTGCGCCGTCAGTGCGGTGGAGTCAGCAAGCAGAAGTCTGTGTGTGGGAAAAGGTTATAAATGGGGAAGGCGGGGCAGACATAGGGGGTCAACAGTCGGGGGGAGGGGGCGGTGGGGCGGCTGCGGCCCAGCTGCCCGGGCCTGAGTGCAGGAGGAGGAAGCAGCGGCGGCCTGAGCCTGAATTCATAGGTGCGGAGTGTAGAAGGGCGCCCCATAGGTCTGTGAGCCCAGCACAAAGGGCGAGAGCACCGCGGGGCTGGGCAAGAACGGCAACTGTGCGGCGCACACGAGCCCTCCGGGGCCATGGCCGGGGTAAGCCGTGGGACCGTGCATGGCTAGGGGAGTCCCCATAGGCGGGGATGGGCTGAGCGGACTTAGTCCTCCGGCCAGGCCGGCCCCTGGCCCGCCCAAGCCGGGTCCGGGTCCCGCTCCGCCTCCCGTTGGGGCACTAGTGTCAGCGCCTGGGTTCTGTTTTTTCCACTTGGTCCGGCGGTTCTGGAACCAGATCTTCACCTGTGTCTCAGTGAGGCTGAGAGACAGCGCCAGGTTGAGGCGCTCGCACACTGACAGGTAGCGCGTAGACTTGAATTTGTTCTCCAAAGCCACGAGCTGCTCGTAGGTGAAGGCTGTGCGCGCCCTGCGCGGCTTTCCCGACTTGGAATCAGAGCCGGTGCGTTTGCGTTTGGGTTTGGCGGCTGTGGCTGCGGATGCTGCCGCCTGCGGCCCAGACTGAGTGCCCGACGTAGGCTGCGTGGCTGGTGGCGCAGGCGGGCCCGGTGTGGCCCCGGGAGGCCCAGGGTCGGCATCTTCTTCCTCATCTTCCTCCGCGTGCCTGGGAGCGCCGACCTCGGCTTCCGTGCCTCCTCCTGCACACCCTCCTCCGATGCCGCCGCCGCCGACAGCGCCGCTGCTGCTGCTGCTGAGGGTCTCCTCGCCGCCCAACAACTCGTCTGGCAGCTCCTCGCTGCCTGGGCTGGGGCTGGGACTGGGACTGGGGCTGGGACTGGGACTGGGCCGTCCGCTGCTGCTGTAGCTGTTCGCTTCGCTCCCCTCCGTCTTGTAGACGTCGGTGTCTGCAGGGCGCAGGGTGGAGACGGAGAGACACACAGATAGGAGAGACAGAGAAGAAAGAAATGCGGGTGCAGGGCCACCAACAAGAGAAACGTGTACAGAAAAGGGAGAAAAGGAAATTAAGAGGGAAGGGAACAGAGGCACACGCACAAAAGGAGACAGAGACAGAGATAGACAGGGACAGAGGAAGAGACACAGATAGACACAAGCAGGGGGGGGGAGAGAGAGAGAGAGAGAAGTAGTAAAGGGTGGTGGTGAAAACAGATAAAAGGAAAGATGGAAAGCGAAACAAGGAGCCATAGGAGGAGACGGAAACAGAGAGAAGACGGAACAGAGAAGTTGAAAAAGCAGGGGAACAGAGGAGAAAGAAAGAGAAGGGGACAGTTAGATTTTAAGTCCATCCTCGCCGCGACATCGGTCCCTGACCAATATATTCCTCTTATCCTCAACCTTCCCGTCAGGCCATTCAGAAAGTATTCCCTGTCCCCGGCTATGCTGAAACCTTTAGGAGCAAAGGATAAAAAAAGTTTCTCAAGTTAGGGTAAAGGAACAAGCCTTCATCTTGGACTGAGGTTCCGCAGAGGAAATCATTCCTCTGACCGTCTTCCTTCTTCTTCTGTGTGTCCTCACGCTGAAAGCTGAGAGGATGTGTAAGCTGTGTGTGTGAGGGGTGGGAGTTGGGGGAGGGTAAGGGAATCAGGGGCGGCACCATACATTTATCTAGAACTTTGCTATGGCACGTGCGGCCTTCCCACTCCTAGGAGAACGCTGGCTAGTCTTCCGCTTCCCGAGGAAGTGGAGGGTGGGTTGGGGAGCAGGGAGGTTTAGGCCGAAGATGGGAGAGAGGACTGGAGCTTTAATAAAGATCTCACCCCGCTCCCAACCCCCAACCCCTCAATCTAGCAGAGACCCGACCCGTGGGAAATTTCCTGCAGTTCTCAACTCTAACTTCCGAGACTCCCTGTGATCTCTATGCCGGCGGGCCAAGCTACGGACCCCCGCGCAATATATTGCCGCCCTCCCAAGGACCACATTTAGCTTAGCAGCCCAGACCCACTTTGCACATCTTTCCCCCATAACCGAACTCTCCCGGGGACCTCGAGGTCTTGGAAAATCCTAATTCAATTCAATAATTTCATTAAGTGGTTGCTATATTCAAACACCCTGCTCCAGGTGTTGGGGATGCAAGGCTAAAAAATGACAAGGTACTTGCCGGAAAGATCTAAAGTTTTGCTGGGTCGGAGATGGGCGAGGGTTGGGGTGGGGGAGGACATTCTGAGCTACATCTTCTGCCCTTTGGTTGGCAAGTTATCCGGGCAGAGGCATTAGACAGTTACACAGAATGACACTGCTTCATGCCAAACTTCCTACAAAAGCAATGACCAATTTCCTCCCATGTTCGCAGACCGACCAACCTTCCTTCCTTCCTTCCTTCCTTCCTTCCTTCCTTCCTTCCTTCCT